TGATATGGATCATTCTTGCTACATTCGTAAGCTATGTATGGCACCCTTGGTTGAGTTCTACATTGCCTATGCACTGCCGATAGAGCTCTGGTGCACTTGAGGGTTATTTAACATCTAGTAAGTTTGAGGGTTCCTATGAGTAGCCTACATTACATGTGTTGAAGGAGGCGACGCTTTCTCTTTACGAGCGAGGAGAAACGAAGATCAATTATTAGTCCTATAGATAGTTTAGGTCTTGATTGGTCACATTGTTCAACAAGAGGTAATTCAATCATTTCCTTCCTATGCTTAGTATCACATTCCTTGGCATTCCTTACTGCTTACACTACAAGAGATAATTTAGGGGCATACACTGCGTCCTAGCGCTAGCAACACATTCCTTGTTATTTAGTCATACATCCTTAGAAATATTTGTACTGCCATGGGCCTTAGACATGCGCCAAGCTAGCCTTAGTGTTACACTGTTACTTTTGTCCTATCATTCTCGAGACTTATCACTAGGGCCCCGAGGCTTAGGACTTCAATCCATCGCGAATCTCGGGACCCAAGCATCGGTATTCCTTGTGGCGTTGTGTGCCAGGTCACTTGGGTTGATTGTACCCCATCATGCCTCAGCTTCGTGCTTCATTGTTCTTGGCTTCTTGCGCTGCCTCATGCCACGCGAGGTATTCATCCATGTGTTCGGGGTGTTTTTCATTTGTTGCGCCATCCATGTCTCCCATGTGATTTGACTTGTCCTTAGATTGTTCAATTCACGTGGTTAATAATCTCCAACTAGCTACTTCCTTGTGATTGGGGTTTCAACCGTTTTACATGGGCGATGCTAATGCGTATTGTTGGGTAGAACAAGGCTATTGTATAATATGTGGTGTTATTGGTTCATCACGCATGTACATGTTTTGGCACATTGGTGTTCAAAGTTCATTTGTAAGGCACCTACAAATACAATCACTTGTCTTAATTTGCTGCAATAAAATAGAACTACAATGTACAAAATTGAGTTGATGGATCTTTCATGGCTGATACACCCCTAAATCTATACAACTACAAGATGTTAATCGCTATTTCAACTAATCTAACTTCCAAAAATGTTCCAATAAGCCCCCTAGCTCGCACACATGCATCACGGTTGTGAAAGAACGCCCTTGTCCCCGCCATTCCAATTCTAGCACTTTTAGAGAACATTGTAGCTCATCACCATTTACCACCAAACCTTAGCAGCTGCAAAAACCTGCATTTAAGAAACTGTGGCTACTAGCAAAATCAACCAACATTATTAACATTGTATTTCCAACAAGAGCGTGAAGGCTGATAGTTTCAGTACCATCAGTTCTAGATACAAAATTCAGTGATAATGTTAGTTGTTCTATTGTAGCCAAGCCTCCCCCATTCAACAAAGTTGTCAATAACTCTTTGTGACAATTTTCCAATTTTAGTGCATGCATTTTTACAACAGTTTTGAGGCACATTGATGGGGTTCATACCTATCCTCACATTGTAGTAGAGATTACTAGCACTGTGGAAATATCTGAACTATTGTCCTTTTCAAAAGTCTCCATGACTAATACCGCATGTTCTTATGTGGTTGGACAACAATGTCGTCTACTAAAGTACTTGTGGATTGACCAACCTTCTCCATCATTTTGAACGTAGGTTTCTACTAGTTGATCCATCAAAACTTTATATAATATCAGAGCTAAGAGTTCTTGGGCTCAAGTGTTGACTTTCACAATGTAAAATAAAAAAAATCATTGCCCTCTTTTTATCCACATTGAGACATTATTGAGTCAGACTTAAGAGGGGTGTTGAAGTATTTGTGGATTAGCTAGCCTTCTTCATCGTTTCAAACATTTGGTTCTATTGGTTGGTGCATGAAGCTTAATAGGGTATTGGCCCCAAGAGATCTTTGGTTCAAGTCATCGATTCCATAATTAAAATGAAAGATTTTGGCTCTTTTTTCTTCATTTAGGCCTTGTCGATCCACACGTGAGAGGAGATGTTGAAGTACATGCAAATGTACAAACTTCTCCTTGGTTCAAACTTTTGATTCTACTCCCTCCGTCCCAAAACAAGTGTCTCAACTTTATATTAACTCTAGTACAAAGTTGTACTAAGCTTGAGACATTTATTTTGGGACGGAGGGAGTATTAGTTAATGTATAAACCTTAATATGGTATCAGAACCAAGAGGTCTTGGGTCCAAGCCTCCGCATTTACAGTTTAAATAAAATATTGCTTGTTCTCTTTCTGTCAACCTTTAGGTTTTATCAAGTCACATGTGAGATGAGGTGTTGAAGTATATGTTGATTGTTGAATCTTCTTCATGAGTTTAGAATTTTGATCCTATTAGTAGTGCAGTTAACATGATATCAGAGTCAAGAGATATTGAATTTAAGACGTAGCTAGTGCAATTTAAATAAGAAAATTTCAACACTTTCTGTCTAGATTCAGGCATTATGTTGGGCCTTCAATTGAAAGGTGCACCTTTGTATTTAATAATATCATTTTAATTATTTCAGGATATGTAAATACAATATTATAGTTATATTTCAATTAAAACCATATTTCTAAGGCATTTTCAAGCCTTTTCATGCTTTTGATTGGAGGCAATCTTGAGCACAAGGCCGACTCGACAATGGGGCTTCAGGTTTGGGCCGTCGGACCGGGCTACCCATGCCTAAGTTTATTTCTGTCCATGTTAAGGCCTTATTAAGCTAGACAGGAAAGAGGGTGTTGGTATATATGTGGACTGTCCAATCTTCTCCGCCTGTTCCAATTTTTGGTTCTACTGGTTGATGCATAAAACTTACTACGATGTCAAAACTAAGAGATCCTAGGCTCTCCTTTTGCAGCTTCTTTGCCTCTTCATGCCATGTTTAGGCCTTATTGAGCCACACACGAGAAGGTATTGAAGTGGATTGCCTAACATTGTCCATTAGTTTGGGTTGGTGCATGAAACTTTTAATACCTTATATGCTTCGATCATACTAAGGACGCCAACATTTCACCTGGAGAGTGGCTATCAATATCCCATGTCCATAATTTTAGTGGCTATCAATATCGCCCAGTCCATAGTTTTAGCTAAAGTAGGTGATACCTCCTCTGATTTCTCTTTATGAGTCCTTTGATGAACTGTTTAAACAAAATTTGTCATAATGCAAGCTATGGCTTGAGATCTTTTACAAGAGTTCTTCAAATTGTTCTCGATACTCTTTTGTTACACAAATAACAACGAAGTCCTGAATTAGTGATGGTCCGCGGCACCAAACTTTGCCTACTGTAGTCATGGATGCGGGGCAAAATACACATCATAGCAGAGTTTGTATGCCGGAATCAAAGCGCAACATTGCCTTCTTTGTGGATCATCATCCCGTGATCCACATTAAGTCTTGAATATATAACTTGAGTAATCGAGACATTCGTCTCACCAAATGTGCGGATTGTGCGACTGAACTGCAGAAAGGAAATCTTCAACCGGGAATGTTGATCCTTTATGTTGTGTCAGTCAAGGTCTACCGCCACCATGCGGTTGCGAAAACTTGTACAACCCTTTAACAAGCAAAAGACTCGCAAGAGGATTGACATCATCTTTTTCTTGAGTCATTGGCCGGAACAGCCACCATGCGCTCAATCACTTGAGGCCTTGTTCGGTTAGGCAGGGTTTGGAGAGGTTTGAAAGGGATTGGAGGGGATTAAATCCCTTGCAAGTCAAAATCCTTGTCAAACCTCTCCAATCCCCTTCAATCCCTGTGGCGAGGGGATTAAATGAACAGGGCCTGAATGAGCCAACGCGTCGTGCCACCGCTCCATGCCAAGGGTAACAATTGCTGCTAGCCGAACCAGATCCAATCGTGCTGCCATCTGTTGGTGCGTGATGTCAAGAGTCGCCAGGGTGGCCAGAGCCACTACAATTTGGCCCAAGGACTCGCAAGAGAATGAAAGGGTGCGCGGTGAGGGTCAGGAGGCACCATCGCAATCTCTTGGGAAATCCATCCGAATTTACAAGTGTTAGGGGAGGAGTCAATGAATCGAAACACCAAATTCCCTACCTTGTACTAGGATTTTACGGCCAAGGGTAACAATTCGACGATTGATCTGGACCTCTGATACCAAGTGTAGCGTCCCTGGTCCTACAATTTGAAGACCGAATTTCCTACCTTCTACCGGTATTTTACGGCCAAGGGTCGAACAATTCCACGATCGATCTTGACCTCTGATACTAAGCGTAATGTCCCTTAGTCCTAGGTGATTTGGGTGTGATATTCATACTGATGCAGGATATGGAGCGATTGGGGATCAACGAAAAGCAAGATAGGGTAGAGAGTTCATTCTTTTCTTGCTGCCTCTGATTACCACTCTCAGGCTATATAGCCAAGGACTCGCGCAACTTGCGCCATCTTTATCACGCCTTCCTAACTCGATGGTGCCACCCTAGTCTCCACTTGTACCACTTCGATTGGGGATTTTTTTTTTTTCAAAAAAAACAAGTCCTGTCGTGAATAAACCAAAAAGCAACTCTCACTTGGTAGTCTGCGCAAATGAAATTTCATGGAATAAAATTCTTTTGGAGCCTCATGCCTGTGCATCCGTGTCAGCTCATGTAGACTCGCCTGCCTGCAACCATACCAAGGATGTTTGGTTTTGAAATTTCGGCCTGACTGGACATGAGATGAACTTCACGTGACTAGACTTAAACCCTTCTACAAGAGTGGTAACGTGCAATGGAGAAGTAATATCTCCGGCATAAAGCATACAAGCACACAACTGTCGATGGCCTCGGAAACATGACGAAGCGACAAAATGCATGGGCATTACCATCAGTAGCCAGCTTGTTTCCAAAAAACTCCGTCGATTACTTCTGCCCAAGTAGTTCTCTGAACTATTGTAGCAATACTTGTTACTTTTTGCATCATTATGTCTTTGATGCTCATTTCTCTTGAATATCGAATTGATATACTCTGTTCCACAAAAGAATTATGCATTCACAAACCTTTGTTGCAGTATGGAGAATATCATCAAACGTTATCAGAATTTCCCAGAAGCACAAAAAAGAGCACATGGAAGGAGCCTTCTCAAAGAGGTGACAAAGGACAGAATCAACATCATTAAAACATTATCAAGAGTGTCTATCTTTACCTCTTAATGGATACTAAAAATCAGTTTTGATGCTCTGCTGCAGATACCTTTCTATGAGCAGATCTAGGCACTTTTCCTACAGCAGTAACTATTTTTTATAAAGAAAGAGCATAAATCATGCTATGGGAATGTTACAAAATATGAGTTCACAAAACTGGAAAGTACAAAAGGAATTATGTTGTAATTTAAAGTGATGGTGTTAAATAAATGAGACATTATGCACATTTATGCCCATTTGCTTTGAGAATATTCTCGGTACTGCTAATGATCATTTCCATTTTTCCAGAGAAGAAGCAAGGATTTTCAAGTTCCCATAGTGACAACAGATAGAAGGCCAAACATTCATGACATGTAACATCTCAAAATTGCTTCTGCAAGTACCAATTGCAACTATAAATAGTTCCAAAAGGTTACTAATAATATATTATCAGCAGGTCAATTGATGAATCAAGCATATCCCAGTTGACCATCGAACAGCTTAGCCAAATTGAAAGAAAATTGGAGTATGCACTAAGGAGGGCAAAGACCAGGAAGGTATGTTTCAGTAAGGCATGTTTAGTATGTATATCATTTATTAGCTTCCTAGTCCAAATATATTTTGGTAAACTTCGTCACAGAATTTCCGTTTAGATTCCAATTGAAGACTTTTTCGTGTAAAGTATCAAGGTACCTCAGGGTCTGCAGAAGTAACACATTAAAGTTCTTTTACAGGAAAAGAACTGGGATGTCTATGCAAGTTTGAAATTTTTATTTTTCTTGTCACCATGTAAATTTATACCTTTTATTAAAAAAAATGTGAAAATGGGAATCACACTCCACATAACAAAATGTGAAATTGAGAATCACACTCGATAGAGATGTTTATGTAGTTTACATTCATTCTTGCCTATTAATACTGTAACACTTTTTTGCGGGGTATTACTACTGTAACACTTGTGCCAGGCTTCTCATGCTCAGACAGAAACCCAAAGCATTTATTTTAGTATCTGAGTTTACCATTTATCAGTTGCACTGATACTTATGTTCCATGAATGACTATCGGATTTGTCGTAAACAGACTACCTAGCACAACACATGGCATTTGCAGATCTGACATCAAAGAGGGAATTGGCCCCTTAGTACAACATGACAGTCACTAGTTGGTATGAAAGTTTAACACTACTCATGCCCTAATCTTGCTTTACCCCAAAGATTAGACAATCTAGAAGACTGCAACAACTGATTTTTCACAAGAGGGCATGCTCTTCACAGCACCTGATAAGATATTGGTCAAACAGTTTGAGCGATCTCTCAACGTTTTGGTAAAATCCCTGATATAGATAAGGAATAACAGAAAAAATCCAAGATTTGTCTTTTTTTTTACCTGCTAAATCTGGCTCTGTCAGTGATTCACGATGAATTACCTGTCTTATGGTGAAATGGAAGGAGTGGGTCCAAACTAAGTTTGTACTGTTGGTTGATGGCATAGATGTGAATCTGGGAAGTACATTAGGATGAAGATTCAATTAAGGTTCCACCATCTGAATTCCTATTCACGGCAGGCAGATAACTAGTCCTTTGTCTTACGGTGCCAATGTATAACTAAACTTGTTGCATTACTAGTAATTTTGAATTATATGGTTTATATCTTTTGGCGTTTTAAGATATTTCAGTCTAATATGCCCTCGGATTCATTTTAAAAGTCATACACTTTCTCCTGCATGGAATCAGTTGGAAGCGTATAGGATCGCCACACTACAGGAGAAGGTGAGTCTCAAATATACCAACAAGATTTTTCTAAAGTCCTATTTTATCTGAAGTACGCAGAGCATAAAACTAATTTTAGTACTTAAGAGGCTTACCACTTCCAGCACATGTCTCTATCCAGCTCTATGAAAGAATCATCCAGAAGCAAATCTTTTGCCTCCGTTTCAAAAAAAAATAAAATCATCCAGTTCACACTGTATAAACAAGCAGCCACATCTACTAGATTTCAGTTCTGCATAATGGATAAAACTCAATCAGGGAAATGCATTTATCCAGTGTATGCGACATCGAGATATTTCTGCATGTGTGCCTTATTTTGAGAAAAAGGGTTTCCCCCCGCTTTGTATTACAAAGCAAACATCCAATACAACCAACGATAGGTGCTGGGGCGGAAGCAGCACAACCACACCCAAAAGAAAAGAAAGAGAAAAAAGGAAAAGAAACAAATGCCGATAACGGCGGATCGACAAAGACGACGAAGCCTCGCGACCGCTGCTTCCACCGGAAATCGTCCCCCAAGCTTCAAGACTCCGAAGCACCGGTACCAATCAACGCCTCCAAGAAGGGACGCGACGATGACGACGCTGCTGCCAAGGGTTTCCCCCGATACATAATGAGGAAAGAAGAAGGGTAGCCCCGACGCCCTCTAGGAAGGTCCGATGGCACCCTCAGGCGCCACCGCGTCGGTGTCGGCCAAGCCAACAGGGATTTCTCCCGATCCCATCCTCCCCCTCAGGCACTCCAGCGCTCGCCACCAAACCGACCACCACCCTGCGCACACGGACATGAAGCTTCCCACGCTGTCTCACCACGGCACCGCGAAGATGGCCTGCACAACGAGGAAGGGGAGCCGGGACTAGGGCAGCAGCACCATCAGCATACTGGAGGGCCCCACCTCCACTGTCCACGACGGTAGCCGACCGGACGCCAAAGCGGGAGTCTGCCGAGCCCGTGGCCCCACAGGCCCGGCCGGACCCTCAGAGGCCCGGACAACTCCCGCCTCCACGCCGCAGCTGGCATGCCGTCGGCGTCGCTGCCCCCTGTCCGAGCTGCTCCACCACCTCACCACACAAACGACGATGAAGCCACGCCAGGGGCCGGCCCGCTAGGACCCAGACGGGGCCCGCGGGCCCCGATCTGGGCCAGGGGCGCGCCACCACGCTGTCTCGCTGCCAAAGGGGACAAAGCGAAAGGGGCCGCGCCACCACCGTGCGAGCCGCCGGCCACCGCGCCGGGACGCCGGGC